TTCCAAGTGTTACATATACATATACATACATACATATATTTCATTTGCTTTTGGTTTTTTGTTCTTTTTATTCACTTTACATCCTGGTTGTAGCCCCATCCCTCCTCCCCTCCTGGTAACACCCTTCGTCCATCCTTGCCTTTTCCTCAGAAAAGGGAAGCTCCCTTTCCCATCTACCCTAGCTCATCAAGTCCCATCAGCACTAAGCTTGTCCTCTTCTCCTGTAGCCTGGCAAGGCAGTCCCACCAGGGGGAAGTGATCAAACATTGGTAAAGGAGTCTCTGCCCAATGCAGCCCCCAACTTCCCTTACTAGAGGACCTACATAAACCCTAAGCTGCTCCTTTGCTACATCTTCATGGGGGGCCTAGGTCCAGTTCATGCATGATTCTTGGTTGATGCTTCAGTCTCAGCAAGCTTTTTGGGCCCCAATTATTTGATTCTATTAGTTTTCTTGTGGAGCTCCTGTCTCCTCCAGGTCCATTGCTCTTTCCTCCCAATTTTTCCTAAGACCCCTTATGCATCATCCACTGTTTGGATGTGAGTAACAGTATCTGTTTTGAGGCACTGCTGGGTAGCATCACTCAGAGGATGACTCTAATAGGCTTCTGTCTGGAAGCTTAGTAGAGCATCCTGCAAAGCATCCTTCCCACAGGGTGGTCTTTAGCTGGGCCAAGCATTCATTGGGCCTCAATCTATGCACTACCTGCTCTATGTTTATCATTACACACCTTGTAGGTTGGGTAAATTTGGGGACAAAGTTTTTGTGGGTTGGTTAGTTTTCCCCTCCCTCTCGTAGGATACTAGTCAAGTTAGAGGGTATCCTCTTCTGTCTCTATGGCCTCTGCTACTAGGAGTCTGTGGTTAAATCACCCTCATATCCTGTGCACTTAGTGTTTTCATTAGTATGTGGCAGGATGATTTTCTTTTCTGGTCCAATTTATTTGCTGTTCTGTAAGCTTCTTGTACGTTTATAGGCACCTCTTTCCTTCTATGATTTTACTGGACATATTTTCTGGGCCTTGGAGCTGAGAGTCTTTTCCTTCTTTTATTCCTATTATTCTTAGGTTTGATGTTTTCATAGTGTCCCAGATTTCTTAAGTTCTGTGTCAGGAGCTTTTTAAATTTAACATTTTCTTGGACTAATGTATTGATTTCTTTAATTGTATCTTTTACCCTTGATATTCTTTCTTCCATGTCTTGTATTTTGTTGGTGATGCTTCTATCTGCAGTACCTGTCCTCTTCTCTTGGTTTTCCATCTCCAAGATTGCATCAGATTGTGTTTTCTTTATTTCTTCTAGTTCCATTTTAAGGTCTTGAACAATTTTATTCATTTCCTTCTCCTGTTTGATTGTAGTGTCTTGTATTTACTTTCTTTAAGGTATTTGTTCAGTTCTTTAACCTATCTGTATTTTCCTGGGCTACTTTTAGGGATTTATTTTCCTCCTTTAGGGACACTATTTTTTCTTGCCTTTTCGGTGTGATAATATATATAGGGCTTGCTTTGGTAGGACTGCTGGTTTCTGGTGATGTCAAATAGCCCTGGGATTTGTTGCTTGTGTTCTTACACTGACCTCTAGCCATCTTGATATCTCTGGTAGTAGCAGGTCTGGTAATCTCTGATGGTCAGAGAGTTTGGTACTAGGTAGAGAGAGCTCTAAGTTAAATGTTGCTAGGAGCCCCACACTGGCCTCCTGGGGATGATAGACAAGTGATGTAGGTCAGAGCCTGGGTACAGCTTTTCTACAACCTCCTTGTCCCAGGTGGTTCCAGTAGATCAGGGAGTGGTCTTTAAGCTGAATGGTGTTCTGCCCAACTCAGGCCTCCATGGGCTGGAGGACTTCTCTGCTGTCTGTGCCCTGGGTGGGTCAGGCAGATCAGGAATATTAAGAGCAGGCAACTCAATGGCTGGCTCTTTGACCTCCCCACCCCCCAAGAGAGGAGCAGTCCTGCTAGGCCACAGAGGAGGGCTTTGCAGCCAGTCCTGAAAATATCTGATAAAACAGGATCGGATGAAAGGGGAGGAGGTCCCCCTATCAGTGGACTTGGAAAGGGGCACGGTGGAGATGAGGGAGGGAGGGTGGGATTGGGAGGGAATGAGGGAGAGGGATACAGCTGAGATACAGAGTTAATAAAATGTAACTCATAAGAAAAAATAAAATAAAAAAAGAGCAGGCATTGACATTATAGACTGAGATTCAACTACTCAGCAACTTGCTAGCCTAGCAGGCACTGAGCTCCTGGCACTCAGACTCTGCTTGACTCTGCCATCCTGGGCCTAGGACCCTGTATGTTTGTATTGTCTACCTGGCCTTCACATAGGAACCAGAATATCCCTGTGTTGGGTTTGGGGTGCTGCCTCCAGTCTAGACACTGACCTTGGGAAACCAGAAGTGATCTGAGGTCTGGTTGATGGAACAAAGCGCCTCTGGACCTTGGGGGCCCTGTGTTCCAGTAGGCAGAAAACACCATGAGGGTGCAGCAAGTGCTGGTCTATGCTTGGCACCTAGGCCCTATGAATTGGGGCTTTTGTATCCAGGCAGGGAGGGTGGAGGTGATCCAAGGTCTGGTTCTGTTGCTAGTTTACTCACTAGCAGTCTTTGATCTTCTGCCACTCAAGATAGAGTATGCTTTGGTTGCCATGATCTTGGTAATCTTGTTTTTTTTTCCTTTGAAAAGTGAGTAAAACTACAGTTTTCTGTTGAATAATTTTGGTCAACTTTTGTATAAGACCTTTAAAAAAGCTGAAAATTTTAATAATTTTTACTGCTCACTGGAAATTTGGAACTACATTTTAAATTTGTTTTAAGAAAGCTATTTTTTTTCTCTGTGGCTTTAGTTTAGCCACACACACAGAAATAAAGTGCTATATGTGTCCTTTACCTGCCTAATAGTATTTCATCAGCTCTAAGGTGTTGAGGATTTTTCCCATCGAACATCTATTATGAATCAATCAGTGCTGAACTCTGGACTAAATTGTTAGAGTCACAAACATAAGAGGGCTAAGATAGAGGGTTGAGTCATCAGTAAACTTTCAATGTATGAACTGCAGTAGCAGAGGTACTGTGGATAACTGGGCTCCAGTGAAGAGGTTCCAAAGGTTGTATGCTATGTTCAAGAAAAAATCTGAGGAGGAAGTGATATACAAGTGATGTACAATATCCACTCAAAAGTCAGGTGAGAGAGGAGTTCTGGCAGAAAGAAGGGCAACAGGAAGGACAAATTCATAATGTCATGGTAGGTGTGGAGGAACTTTCCAGCAATGAGGCATATTAATGAGATTATAAGATCAAGGCAGGTAGCATGAGGTATGGGAGTAGACTTTATGGGGGTCTTGGAAAGATCATATTAAATGTTATACTTCTTTGTAAGATGTATGATTGTTTTTATTTCCATTTATCTGAACTTACAGTTCATGCAGTTATCATTGGAAGAGATTTGTCAGCTGTCAGGGAAAAGAGTAAGTTGTAAATCCTGTTCCTGGGTGAATTAAAACTAACCATATCTATGAGTCAATCAGGTTGCTTCCCCATCTTTTTAGTATGCCAATGGCACATTTTTATGATAGTCACTAGGTACAGAAAGTTGCCTCTGATCTTTGGAATAGTAATTGCAAGCAGAAGACTGCCCTAGTTCTGTAGGAGCAGAATAAAGAAGCTATAGAGAAAGATATACTTACATAGAAAGACAAGCATATGTACACTCCAGTAAGGACACTCAGAGTCAGTAGAAGAATATGAAGGGGAAGTTTCAAGAGAGTTGGGAGCAACTGGATATTTTAGGAAAAAAGGGGAGATAAGCAAGGCAACAAGAAGAAAGTGCTAGTTAGGCTGATATTGACCATGAATGAGATTAAAAAGCTGGTTACCATTAGGGGTACTCCAGAATATAAGGGAGAGCACATGTAAGTTACCTTCTGAAAATACCTACAAGATAGAGATGGAGATGGAGATAGATATAGAAACATAGATAGAGGAATGAAAGAAGGGAGGGAGGGGAAGGGCAGAAAGTGGCTTGTTAAAGAAGAACAGTTGGGAAGAAAGGAAAAAAGAGAGAGGGAGGGAAGGGAGTAGGGAATAAAGAAAAGAAGGAAGAAAGCAAGCAAGCAAGGAAAGAGGTAGAAAATGCTGAAAATAACAAGATGAAAGCAGGAGACATTTAATGTGGCTTTAAGCTAAGGACAAAGATCCCAAAAGGAAGAAATATAGGTAATAGATGAAGGACTTGTTATGTAACAAGAAAGAGTCACGCAAACAGGTACATGTTTCATTTTTTAAAGCATTTTACAAAATTGGAACTACAACGAGCAATTTAAATGCAGAAATATACTTGAGACTAGTGTTTGCAAAGTCAGGAAAGAGAAATGATCATGTAAAGAAATTCAGACTTTCAGAGCTGTGAAACCTTTCTTCATGGTATTGGAATGGTGCGTAAATGACACCATGTATCTATGAACAGTCAAAGTATGATAGAAAAAGTAGACTGGAAAGCAAACAAGGGTCTTTGAAGCATGCACCCTCACGAGCACACCAGTTGGAATGAATTGCTATAGTGAGATGAGATGCAATTAGCTGTGACATATTCACTATTTTCCTGTGAAGGGGAGAATGTGGACATGAGAACTCTAAGCTGTGAGCCGAACTGCCTTACACTCCTAAAAGTGCTGTGTAAGGAAATCTCACAAACACATACACACACACAAACACAAAAACCAAAAATCACAGTCTAGCTCTTTTCTTTAAACTCTTCTCAAATAAACTAAACTAACCCAAAACAAATTGCCAAGTAAAAACAAGAGAGTGGCTTCTTTACAAAGTGTCAGAGGATTCTGTAACCAGGTTTTATGTATAATTATTGCTGCATAACACGTGCCATTATTTCAGATTTGCTTTCCAATGCTAGATGAATGTTCCACACTTCACCTATGCGCAAATGTGAAGACATTAAAGAACAAGCAAGAGATTATCACACAAGAAAAGAACTCAGAGCAAAGCTTCTTACCTCCAAGCAAAACAGTGAAAATGTCACCATATTTCCTTTGAAGAGTTTTCATGAATGTTAAAGGATCCTTTTGAAATTTCAGGGTCATGCCAAGATAAGGAAGCCAACCTTTTATCAAGGGAGGTTCACCAGGGCACCTATGAAAAGAAAAAAAATCAATAAAGAATAAAAATATTCTTACTTTAACACATGTGGATTATTTATCCATTCTAAATCAATGCATGAATTGCACATCTCCTGACAGTTCACCTCTTTATGGATTCTTATGCTATTCTGACATATTTATGAAGCTTTTTCAGTTTGTGTGGATATGGTATATGTAGTTTAATCCCCTGTTTTTGTTGAGCAACTTTTCATACCTTTTTTCCCTCTAAGGATTCAACAGCTCCTTAAGAGGTAAACCACAGTCTGATATACTTATCATATGTCCAGTTTTCCATCATCATATCACTGTACACCTGAAGTGTCTGTGGCAGGACCAGAAGGTAACCAAATCAGGCAATTGCTTAAAAAAACCAGCATGGTAACAAACTGACAATTTTGTAAAATAATTTCTGATTTTTATAAGTCATTCTATAAATGTTACCTATTAAATCTAGTAAGAACGAATCGTGATTGTTTTACTTATATAACTTTTATTGCATGTATGTGTTTTGGCTGCACACATATTTGTGTACCAAGGGATTGAGGAGGTCAAAAGATGGCATTATATATCTGGGAAGTAGAGTTACAGACAATTGTTAGCAACCATGTGGGTGCTGGGAAGCAAATTGGGGTCTTTTGAAAGAGCACATGTGCTCTTAATCTCTGAGGTTTCTCTAGGACTCTCCACCCCAACTTATTTTTAACTAACATATGTAGGTGATGATTATGGCAAGTGTGATGGCTGATGTGATTGTCAACTTGAAACACCTTCTAAGAGGAAACCTCAATTCACAATTGCCTCCATCAGATTCGTTTGTGTGTCTATTTGACACACCTCAGTTGAGGAATTGCCTCCATCAGATTAGCTTGTGGACATGACTTTGGGGAGTTTTCTTGACTGATAAGAGATGGAAGATGACCTAGCCCACTGTGAACTGTGCTACACTGGGTAGCTGTTCTTGAATATTATAAGAGGATTGGTTAAATTAAAGCACTAGTCAGAAAGATGAGGGAGGGAAGAAGAAAGGGAGGAAGGGAAGGACAAAGAGAGGGAAGGAGAGAGAGAGAGAGAGAGAGAGAGAGAGAGAGAGAGAGAGAGAGAGAGAGAAGATTCTCTGCTTCAGGCATTCAGGGGTGGTTCAATATACAGAAACCCATCAATGAAATCCACCATATAAAAAAAAAACTGAAGGAGAAAAACCACATTATCATCTCCTTAGATGCTGAAAAAGCATTTGACAAAATCATACACCCATTCATGTTTAAAGTCTTAGAGAGATCAGGGACACAACACATATACCTAACATAGTAAAGACAATATATAGCAAGCCTATAGTAAACACCAAACCAAATGGTGAGAAACTTAAATCAATTCCACTGAAATCAGGTACAAGGCAAGGCTGCCCATTCTTTCCATATCTCTTCATCATAGTATTTGAAGTCCTAGATAGAGCAATAAGACAAGTAAAGGAGATCAAGGCAATAAAATTGGAAAGGAAGAAGTCAAAATATCACTATTTGAAGACAATATGATAGTACACATGAGTGACCTTCAAAATTCAACCAGAGAAATCCTTCAGCTGATAAACACCTTCAGCAAAGTGGCTGGATACAAAATTAACTCAAAAAAATCAGTAGTCCTTCTGTATACAACTTCCTGAACAGAACACCAACAGCACAAGCTCTAAGAGCAACAATCAATAAATGGGACCTCATGAAGCTGAAAAGCTTCTGTAAAGCAAAGGACACTGTCATCAAAACAAAACGACTGCTTACAGATGGGGAAAGAATCGTCACCAATCCTTTATCTGACAGAGGACTAATATCCAGTATATATAAAGAACTAAAGAAGCTGAAAAGCAGCAAACCAAGTAATCCACTTAAAAAATGGGGAGCAGAGCTAAACAGAAAACTCTCTGTAGAGGAATATCAAATGGCAGAGAAACACTTAAAGAAATGCTCAACCTCATTAGCCATTAGGGAAATGCAAATCAAAACAACACTGAGATTTCACCCTACACCCATTAGAATGGCTAAGATCAAAAACTCAAGTGACAACACATGCTGGAGAGGTTGTGGAGAAAGGGGAACCCTACTCCACTGCTGGTGGGAATGTAAACTTGTACGACCACTCTGGAAATCAATTTGGCACTTTCTCAGACAAATAGAAATACTGCTTCCTAAAGATCCAGCCATACCACTCCTAGGCATATATCCAAAAAAGGCTCAAGTACACAATAAGGACATTTGCTCAACCATGTTTGTTGCAGCTTTATTTGTAATAGCCAGAAGCTGGAAATACCCCAGAGTCCCCTCAGCTGAAGAATGGATGCAGAAATTGTGGTACATCTACACAATGGAGTATTACTCAGCAATGAAGAATAAGGAAATCATGAAATTTGCAGGTAAATGGTGGGACCTAGAAAGGATCATCCTGATTGAGCTATCCCAGAAACAGAAAGACACACATGGTATATACTCACTCATATAGACGTATAATATAGGATAAACCTACTAAAATCTGTACACCTAAAGAAACTAATCAAGAGGGAGGACTCTGGCTAAAATGCTCAATCCCCATCTGGAAAGGCAAAGAGGATAAACATCAGAAAAAGAAGAAAACAGGAAACAAGTTAGGCACCTGCCACAGAGGGCCTCTGAAAGGCTCTGCCCTGCAGACTATCAAAGCAGATGCTGAGACTTATGGCCATCTGTTGGGCAGAGTGCATGGACTCTTATGTAAGATGTGGGACATAGTAAGAGCTGGAGAGGACAGGAACCCCACAAGGAAAGCAACAGAACCAGAAAACTTGAACACAGGGAACTTCCCAGAGACTCATATTCCAACCAAGGACTATTCATGGATATAACCTAGAATCTGTGCACAGAAGTAGCACATAGCAGTTCAGTGCCCAAGTGGGTTACATAGTAATGGGAAGAGGGACTGCCTCTGACATAATCTGATTGGCCTGCTCTTTGATCAAGTCCTCCTGAGGGTGGAGCAGCCTTACCAGGCCACAGAAGATGACAATATAGCTACTCCTGATGTGATCTGATAGACTAAGATTAGAAGGAAGGAGAAGAGGACCTCCCCTATCAATGGACTTAGGGAGGGGCATGCATGAAGAAGGGGGAGGGAGGGTGAGATGGGAAAGGGAGGAGGGAGAGACTTATGGGGGGATACAAATTGAATAAAGTGTAATTAATAAAAAAATAAAATAAACAAGAAAAGAAACATGAAAACAAGTCACAATACAGAAAAAAAACGTGGATTTTATTCTTCATACCTTTCCCTTATTTTCATTCCTTTAAAATTTTAAAAATTATATATTTGAGGCAGGGCCTTGCCTTGACTGGCCTTGATTTTAATATGGTCTTACCTCTGCTTCCTGATCTCCATACTGTGATTTACAAAATTGTAGCACCAAATCCTGGGTAATTTGTTTATTTTCTTGAATACCGACAGTAACAACAAAGACTGATTTTTAAATTTTTTCAAGTTTTTTCATTGTTATTTAATTATTTTTATTTTTATTAATTGCAGTTTATTCACTTTGTAACCCCCCTGTACCTCCCTCCCTCCTCCTCTCCCAATCCCACCCTTCCTCTTCCCCACCTGTGTCGCTTTCCCAGTCCAATAAAAAGAAAGTTCCTCCTCCCCTTCCCTGTGATCCTAGTCTATCAGGTCTCATCAGGAGTGGCTGCATTCTCTTCTTCTGTGGTCCAGTAAGGCTGCTCCGCCCTCAGGGAGAGGTGATCAAAGAGCAGGCCAAACAGTTCATGTCAGAGGCAGTCTCTTTCCCCATTACTACGGAGGCTATTTGGAGACTGAACTGCCATAGGCTACCTCTGTGCAGGGGTTCTAGGCCATCTCCATGAGTAGTCTTTGGCTGGAGTATCAGTTTCAGAAAAGACCCCTGTGCCCAGACTTTTAGGATCTGTCGCTGTCCTTGTGGAGCTCCTGTCCTCTCCAGGCCTTGCTATCTCCCACTTCCTTCATAAGATTCCCTGTACTCAGCCTAAAGATTGGCTATGAGTCTCAACATCTGCCTCAATAAACCCACATACTTATGGACACCTGATTTTTGGCAAAGATGCCAAAACCATACAATGGTAAAAAGATAGTATCTTCAACAAATGGTGCTGGTCTAACTGGATGTCTACATGTAGAAAAATGCAAATAACTCCATGTCTACCACCTTACACAGAAATAAAGTCCAAGTGGATCAAAGACCTCAACATAAAACCAGACACAATAAATCGGTTAGAAGAAAAAGTGGGGAAGAGCCTTGAACTCTTGCACATGCACACAGTTTTTCAGAAGTCAATGTGGAGTGTCTTCCCTTTTACCCCTCGCCATATTATTTTGAGTTAAGATCTATCTCTAAGTCCAGAGATTACTGATTGGCTAGACTAGCTTGTCAAGAATGTCTGATTGGCTAAAGTAGCTTGATAGTAACTTCTTGGGGGCCATCTGACTCATCCTCACACATTCTCCACTCAGTGTTGGGGTTACAGACACAAGCCACAATTCTCAACTTTTACAGCGCTGCTGGGGTTCCAAATTCAGGTCTCATGGTCATTTGGCAGACACTTCGTCCACTGAAGCATCTCTCCAGCCAGTTTCTACCAAACTATTAAACAAGAAGAGACCACACACATGAATAGAGAGCAGGACCTCAGTTTGGAACTTGTTACACTTCTGGCCCAAGATCCTTTGAAGTTCTTAAGCATTCTAGTTCACAACACTTACTTTCAAAATAGTAACTCATTTCCTTGATCTACTCTTACTGTGTCTGGCTTAATGTTGCATTATGAAAACAGTTTAGTAAGGCCTTTTTCCATATTCTAATTGAATACATCTAATGTCATCTTCTATGCTATCATTCAACCAAAAGCTGTATTCTTCATAGGGATTCCACAGGCAAGAGGATGGGATGCAGAAATCAAAGGCAATATCAGTAGTGCTCAGAATTAGGGAACCACATTAGGA